ATTTGTACAATTTTGCTATAGGCACCTCAAGTTTGCCCCATTTTCTACCCCAGATAAAAACGGTCCCCCATTTTTACCTCATTCCCTTCCCCATTTCAATTTTTTACCTGCTTACTCACCTACCCCCTACTCTCTTCCTTACAAAACTCCTGCCCCTACTCCCCGCTTACTCCCCTGCGACGTCGAACCACCCGAAACCGAACAGCCCAGAACCGAGCATCCCTGCGACTACACCGGCCAACACCTCCTCTCGTCTCACCTTCCCTTTTTCGTTTTGAACGGAGAGCTACAGTGCTCCGAGATAAAGGGGTCATCCTTGGGACACCATTTGCAAGTCTCTTCGATGGAGTTAGGCTACCGACCCCTACATGCTACATTACACCTCTTCCATCGCTGCTACCAGCCCTGTCTGCACATTTCCCTCCTAGTATGCCTCTTTCTCCCTTTTTCATCTTTCTTCATTTTTTGTTATTTATTTTTTTATTTCATGTGAAATACTCTATGTATCTTGTAATGTTTAATGGCTGATTATTTTGTGTTATTGCGATGGATTTGTGATGTTTACTCTTAAAATTTCATTCCAACTATTATGTGTCATTGATATGCCCATAACATGTTTGTTGAAATGCTTCAATGATTTTTTTTGTTTATATCCTCTTATGTTTTAAGGATTTTGGATTTTGTATTACTAGTATAATTTTCAACTTTGAATTGTGCATATTGTTGTTTGGGGTATTAATTGAAGTGCATATATGGTTGGTTGCTCTTAGGTTTAGGGATCGGTTCATAAAAGTTCTCCAAATGCCTGAAAATGCAACATGCCTTATCTTCTATGAAGAATTAAGTAGCTGTGAAGAAGCCATCACAGAACTCAAGACAGTAAAGAGAGTTTCAGATAGAGGCCAGAGTATTGGCTCGTGTTCAGCACAAAAACATGGTGAATTTGCTTGGATATTGTGCTCATGGAGAAGAAAATTTGCTTGTTTACAAGTTTATCTCTAATGGGAGTCTTGACAAAATTCTCTTCAGTAAGTTCTTATCCAGTTAATGTCTAACGAGTTTATGTTTGATGGCTTTTGAATTTGTTGAGGTTTATTCCCTCAACTCGCAGGCCCAACACGTAACCTGGGGGTTTCGAATGGGTGATGAGTAAGTACGATGGAGAAATAAGCAGGAAATATGCCAAACAAACTGTGTTTACTAACTCAAACTATTACAAGCCGAAGAGCCGAGCCTACTGTGCTTTGCTACGAACTGCTATTACTGATAAAGTGCTAGAGTGCTAAATTGTGAACCCTTCACAGTGAAATAAATGCTACTATTTATACCGTCAATGGGTAGTTGGAGATGTTGACGTGGCAGACTGTGGGCGGCATGATCCCAACCACCAAATCTTCTGCATTAAATGTGTTTCCCGCCAGAATATTGGTTTCCCGCCATTGGGTGGGGACGTTCGTCCCCAAGGGCTTGGCCGCTGTCTCCTGTTGGGATCTCGATTCCCTATCAATGGGGGAGGGGACGTTCATCTTCATGTACTTGATCTATTGAGAGGCTACTACCATTGATCTATTCTTGAGCCGCCCTTGGTCCCCTTGTTGAGAGGTGGGGACGTCCGTCCCCATGTACCTCGTAGGGACCCTGTGTCTGGGTGCCTCCTGTCAGTGAAACACGTACGTCTCCTGGCCCTTTGGCCTTGGTACTGACTGGTGATGGAGTAAGTACGTCCCCAGGCTCTTGGTGATTGGCCTTCTTCTTGGGCCTTTAGTATGACGCTCGTATGTGATCCTTAAGGGTTGATGGGCCGACCCTTATTGGGCCATTAACCCAACAGAATTTTTATATTATATTTTCCGGTTAAATTGTGAGTAGTGTTGTTTGTTTGACCACATTCTAAATTAAATTTTGTTCAACTCTTTGTTTCTCCAGTTCAAATTAATTTTTTGGCTATGTTTGTAGTTATTTTTCAGTTTACCTTTCTAAATTCTTTTAGTCCTATATCATGTGTTTATTTATTTGGCTCCACCAAGTTCCTTAAAATTGTAGGGGATATCAATCCTTTGTAAATAGTGTTTTATTATGATCTAAATATTTTCTCTTGGGTATTTATATTCAATATGTGTTTCCCGTTTCTCTAATTTTTATACTTTGTTATGGACTTTGAGTGATAGGACGTGATGCTTTCCAAGCGAAGTTTGGGACCTTTTGAGGCTATGATGATACTATATGGTTTGCCAAACAATCAATCCAAGATTCTGAACATATATGGTTTGTGATTTTAATGACATTGAGTTGATGCACCTATAACTCCGCCATGATATCATCTTTTTTGGTATCATGCCTGTTCCAAGCCAGGATAAAGGAGGAGGGTGCTGAGGTAGGCGTATGATGACCAACAGTATCACATAGTCACATCACATGACATGAATCGAAATATGAATATCGTTGATTGTTGTTGTTGGAGTTGATGTGCCTATATCATTCTCCCTCTAGAGCATCTCAAGATTTATGTTTTTAATAGTTATGTGCTTGTACATGTAATTAGATTTGTGAACATTCGGATGACCAACGTGGTTATAATGTATTTCATTTTAGTACGCTACAATTGATTTTAATGGGATATATGATAATATGTATATATCTCCTTATGCTTTTTTCTCTCGTTTGGAGTTGTCTGTCAATTTATTTTGAATTGTTTAAATTAGTTTATAGTTGTCTGTCATGTGAAAGTAGTTGTCTGGCAAGGCATATTAGTTGTCTCGCACGTTAAATCCAATTGTTTAAAATTGGTTTGAAGTTGTGTGTCATGTGAAAGTAGTTGTCTGGCAAGACATTTGAGTTGTCTGTCAATTTATTTTAAATTGTTGAAAATAGTTTTGTAGTTGTCTGTCAGGTAAAATTAGTTGTGTGGCAATCCATTTGAATTGTCTTGCACGTCGTTTGGAAATCTTTAAAATTGGGTTGTAGTTTTTTGTCATAAGAATTGACTTCTCTACCAATGTATTGCAACAAATTATCTATTATGTGATATAAAATGTCTGGTCTTCGTTCTCAATTGGAAGAACATATGTGTGGTACAAAGAACATGTGTGTGTGAGACAGAGACAAAATGTCTGGCTAAGACAAATTTTGTCTGTCAGTTTGGCAGAAATAACTACAGTGGCCCATACCAGAAATGTTTGGTCCGGACATATTTTGTCTGTTGTTTGGCACAGACAAGCCTACTGGCCCAGACCATAAATGTCTGACACAAACAACTATTTTGTTAATGTACAGATGAATTTGGTGAATACAAAACATGTATACTATTGTGTGGACAGACACTACATATATGATATATCTAGACAAACAATAGAGATAACCAGACAAACATTATTTTTATGCAGAGAGACAATAATTTTACACAAACAGACAATACACCGGATATCCAGACAGACAAAAGATCAACATACATAAGTGGATAATTGTACATGTAATGTTTGCAAAAACTTACACATGTTCAAATAACCAATCCAATTGTTCAACATCGTACAATATTCGACACATTTTCCCATCTGTAATATGTAATGTTCGTAAGAAATACATATTTAAAAAATCACAAGTTCAAAATCGACACATTTTCCCAACACTCCATGCTTCAGCTTTCTTCAAGCGCCATGTTGGCGTAGTCATAGTCAGGAATCAATAACTTCCTCAGTTAAAACTGCTTTGCAAATGATATGACCATGATGCCACATTATTCGGATATGTAAACAGACAAATAAAGCACAGACAGACATTTAGAACACTTAACACAGACAATACATGTAATGCAAAAAATACTAGTATTGAGTTTAATACCATGCTTGCTATTGAGGCACACATAGAGTCATAAACTTTAACCAATCTACTTCCAACCTAATTACATCTCAAAAAATACACACCACAACTTACTACAACTCACAATCAAACGACAAACAACTAAATATGAATTACAGACATCTATTTTTAAAATGACATACAACTTCAGAACTCTTACAGACTCCTTACAACAACATGATAGACAAGTCATTACAGAAAACTCAAAACAAATACAGACAACTAACAAACAAATGACAGACAATTAAAAAATACGAAGTATTAGATTGGAAAAATTACTATATCATATTAAATTGGAAATCCATAAAAATACTCATTAAAAACTGAGGTACAAAAAATGAAAAAAACCCTTGAATTTCAACATAAAATTCATTGAGTAATTTCTACAAACATGTTATGGGCATAAAATGACATAGAATAATTGGACTAAATTTTCAATAATAAATATTACAAAGTTTCACAATAACACAAAATAATCAATCATTCAACATTAAAAGATATACATATACAGAGTATTATTCATGAAATAAAAAATAAACAACAAAAAATGTAGAAAATGGAAAGAATGGAGTCATGGAGAAAGAGACATACCAGAAGGAAAATGGTGTGGAAGAGGCATACCGTAGCTCAACTCCATGGAAGAGGCTTGCAAATGGTGCGTCAGACCTCCGTTCGTTCGGGCACCGTAGCTCCCACGTTTGAAATAGGAAAAAAGGAAGAGGGAGTAGCTGAAGATAGAGGGGAGAAGGAGGAAAAAAGGTTAGGCGTAGAAAAGGAAGAAAGAAATAAGAGAGAAAAAGAGGCGAGAAGAAGAAAATGAACTAGGCGCAGAGAAATATGAGGGTGAATTTGGAGTTTTGTTGGTCGGATTAGTGATTTGTGAAGGGAGATGAGTGTAAGAAAAAGAAATAAAGCGGAATGGGGACCAGAAAAAGAGAGGGAAAGAGGTGCGGAAAGAAAGAAAGCAGAATGAAGAGTCCAGGTAGAGGAGAGAAGTGAGAGTGATATTTTTAGAAAGAAGTAAAAAAGGGAGGTATTTATATGGGGTACAAAGGCCACACTTGGGGTAGGGTTGGGTACCAAAATTGATTATTTGTATGGATGAGTAGGGATTCTTGTGAATCTGGCCCATTTGTGTTTCCCATAAAACGGATAAGCTTCGTTCCAACACTCTCCAGTAGAACAACTCTCATCGACTAGACCAAATGCTAGCAAATCCCACATTCTATGGCGGGCCTCTGCAATTCACTTCAACTGCAGCTCGTTACAGATATTATCCCCTGCAACTCGCACCGTCCTCCATTTCCAGTAGAAGTGCTTTAACCAGAAGAAGAAATAGCTGCAAACTTCGGCATAAATTGCATGTTCGAGTAACTTCGACTTCGTTGCATTCTGGCCCTTATGCAGCTCTGCCCCACCCTTATTCCGTCAGGATTCCTGTTGGAGATCGTTATGTCAGTACTCCTTTTTATCAGTTCTGTCCCCGTAAATTTCAAGTTCATTATAAGGAAGGTGACTGATCTCTGCACTTTGTGTGGTCGGGCGGGTGGGGGTGGGGGGTCATTTGCAGATAACGGTAGAGACAGGGCGTATAGGCAGGCAAGCCAGCGGCGCAGTTACTGTAACTGATGGAGAAACTGTGAGTTTTTATCCCAATTGATTCTGATATCTTGACGTTGTTCGAATTCTGTAAGCTGTTTGATGTTACTTGCTTCGCCAATACATTTATGCACATATGAAACTCTCAGCTAAACTGCATTAGTATTATTTATATCTAATGTTGAAAATGTATGCATTGATAGAAGGGCATTTACTAAATTTTATAAAAACATTTATTGATATTATGGATATCAATATAGTTAAAAATTAATAGGCAACAGTGACAATAAAAGCATTGAGAATTCTTGTACCAATACCGGAACCTTCAAAAAAGTATGTAAGTGTATCCACCCACACCTCATGACTTCAGATTTTAAACTGCATTTATGTTTGAGCTGTGTTAAGGGAAACAAATACTGATGTTAGTTTCTGATGGAGTCATGGATATAATTTATGCTCTTTAGATTATATACACAACTGTCTGCATTTCTGAAGATCCGAGTGAGCCTTCTGATTTCTTCCCTCTATCCGTTCAATACCAAGAAAGATTTTCAGCAGTTGGTCGTACCAGGTAGGGCTCACTTCTTAATTTACAATATTTTCTTTGTTATTGTTTTGTGTGACGCTTGTAGTCCATCTCCAGTGGAGGATTTTTCAAAAGAGAAGGTAGAGCAAAGGATCATGAGGTACTAATTTTTGCATAAACTCTTTTGCTGACTGTTATTGGTCGCCCCAATGGTGTAATCTTACCTATCATATTATATGCTTTGAGTCTTTGACTACTGTATTTTTTGGGCTTGCAAGTTCTAGTTGCATTTAGTTTGTTCCACGTTTTGTTGTACTCAGTAGTACTTTGTTTACATTCTCTACACATTATGTTATTAGTTATTAAACCACAACACAATCACTCAAATGATCCATGTAGTACACTAAAAAAAAGTGTGGTTGAATTCAAGTTCAATCTAATGAAAATGATCTATGAGGATTCTACAAAATTAACATCAATTTTCATGAGATTCAGTTCCAAAGTTATTAATGTTTTTGTAGATGCAAGTGTTCATTTAGAAAGAACATCATTTATGCAGGTCCATATCTGTAGATTGATAGATAGGCCTCTGCGGCCAACCATGCTTAAGGGATTCTACCATGAAATTCAAGTACTTTCTTGGGTATACACTTTCCCCCCTCCTATACAACATCTTTTGGCATTTTTTGTGCATGCTACATCGGTAAACTAATAAGCTTATCTATTGAAACTAGGCCTACTAACTAATTGAGTTTTTTCCGAACAATTCGATTTGAGTTCGAGCTCGATTTCAGACCGTACGAGCTGAGCTTAACAAGCTTTGAACTTGAACACAAGCTGAATTTTAAGTTCGAATAAATAATCGTGCCGAGATCGAGCATAGTAGTATTCGGTTCGAGCTCGAGTCTATCGAACACCATGAAATCATATGTACAATATATCTATAATATTTATATGTGTGTGTGTGTCAAAAGTTAAGAGCCCGTTGTGATTCTGTTTTTCAGCTTATCAGGCTTACCAACCAACTTTTTCACCAAACACGTAACTTTTGATTTCGCGCTCTGAATTGTATAATAGTAAGAAAAAGTAAGCCTGGACTTACCTTTCAAGCTGTATTGGCTGAATTTACGGTAGTGGATCATTTTAGCTATTTTTTCATATATATTTTTTTTATTTTATCAATAAAAATTATTTTAAGTATAATTTTTTCATAAATCACCAGAATCGGTCAATCAAGCCATTTCGACCAGAACTTCATAAATTTCAGCTAAATAATCCGATTCAGTGTTACCAAACGGGCTCTAAATGTAATTAGTATCATCAACAACAACATCCAAGCCTTAATCCCAAAACATTTTGGGGTCGGCTATTAACGAGCATCACCTAAAATTTTACATTTGAGCATATTTATCGAGCTTATCGAGCACTCCGTTCGAGCATTGAACTCATATGCATTATGCACCTTTTATATCATATTTTAGTATCAAGTTCCCGTGCTTTGCAGGTATTAAGTTATGACAGTTTGCACCCCCCTGATTCTTTGGCAGTGACAGCTGCTGGAATTGCCATGTATGCTGATCTCTTTATCGACCTTAACATTGTATACCTTCTCAGATTAGTTGTATGGCGAAGCACTTCATAAAACATAGTTTAAAGCTTAAATGGGATATAGGGCCTTATCAGAAGTACCAAATTCAAAGGCCATTGCTGGAGTTCGAATTGGTCTTATTGGGGATAAGTTCATCATAAATCCAACCACAACAGAGATGGAGGAGTCAAGGCTGGATTTGTTACTGGCAGGCACAGATGATGCAATATTGATGATTGAGGTTGGTTTACAACTTTGCATTAAACAGAGACCTAGTTATGTACTTATGTTGGATCCATCACCCATGATATTGTTGCTAGCCTGTATACACGTATTCATAGGGATGTTGAGAAGTTCAATCAGAACTGCAATGCATTTCTTCTTTAATTTGTGCATGCACATGTATATAGATATCCGATAAGTCAAACGGGAATAAAGTTCTATTTCTCTCTTCTTGTTGTAATCATATGTTTGTAGAATAATGTATGTCAAGCATAACTTAAAGTAGGGTTTAATGCACCAAACCCCCCTGTGATATGGAAATTCGACGCAAAACCCCCTTGTGTTTTAATTAATTATGCGCAAAATCCCTTTTATGAACAAATTGAATTGTCAAATAAAAGAAAATTGATTAACATTTTTGTATTATTTAGAGATTTTGACATATTTACTTGCATATTCAATCAGAATAAGAATATTAGGAAAAATGATTTCAAAATCATTAAATTTATTCATAAAAGGGGTTCTGTGCATGATTAATTAAAACACAAGGGGGTTTGATGCATTTATTTAACCACAGGGGGCTAATGCGCTGAATTTCTATATCATGAGAGGGTTTGGTGCATTAAACCCCTTAAAAGTAAAGTAAGGCACTAAGGCTCTAAGGCATGCCGTTTGTGTATCTAATAAACTTTAGTTGGAGGTTTCAAAATCATGTTGATGTGCTCACTTCAATGTGAAAAATATTTCCTAGAAGTGAACTTTCCTTTTGTTTCTCAGGTTTTCAAAGAATATCTTGCATTTTATTGTTAACATGATGTAGTGTGCTATTCATTACCATGGTTCAGCATCCAAAATATAGAAATTTGTTTTAGTGACCAAGAAATGAAGTTTTTCTTAAGATAACAACCCAATGATGCCCAATGCCCCAAGTCCCCAAACATGCTTTCACTAGGTGATGCTATCCTATCATACTATTATGTTGTATTATCCTTTTCATTTATTTTGACTCTAGCCTCTAATGATTTATTATTATAGGGATACTGCGATTTTCTCTCCGAGGAAATATTGCTTGAAGCTGTACAAGTTGGACAGGTAGGCAATTCAAGTTAGGTTCACAATTGGTTTGGACTAAATTTTTTCTTGTCTGATCTGCTCTGTTTTAGTCTAGTGTGATCTGGTCTGGTGGTGGATGTCTGTTCTCTGTGCATTTCACAATTGTAGAAGTTTGGTCTGGTTTGTTAAAATCTTGTCTGTCCTGGTCTGTTTAAGTCTGGTCTAGTTTGAGACTGAAATAAGTCCAAGTAAAGACACCCTTAGTATCAGTTCACTTATTTTCACCACATTCATGAGTTTTTGGTTTTGTTTCTTGAGGGTTTGATTGTTGGCTCATTAGTCACGAGTTAAACACTATGCGACATCTGTTACAATGCACTTTATCTAAGTGTTTTTATATGTTAGTAACTTAGTATGTTACTTCCAAGTCATAATACTTTCCATCTTGCATTTTTATAGAGCTGCTAATCTGTTATCATTTTCTTAGAACATAATATTAATCTTTTTTGTATTTGTTACTATTGGGGTCTATCTTTTGTGCTATAAGCAGTTGCATATGAATTGGCAACATTAAATGTAATGCCCTCAGACAGGTTACATTCAGGGCCGGCTAGAGCAATTATGAGGCCCTAGACGGTCATGTAGAAATTTTGTTTTAAATATGTTTTATTTAACCCAATGATATAAAAAATAGCAATTAAATATAAGTAGATTACATATAAAATACATCATATACTATTAACACATTGAGAATATTCTTCGAAATCAGAAGATCAAAGTTGACGAAAAAAATACAAAGAGCCCTAGAGGGAGAAGGTTTTGTGCTTACGTACAACATACCGATCGATAGAGCCGGAAAGTGATTTCATGACCAAATCATTTCTTAATTTTTTTCTTTGTCTTTGTACATCTTGATTCATATTTTGTATTCCAATCATCACAAAACATAAAATTTCATTCAAAATAATACTATCACTAAATATAAGTTAATGGTTCATAGATATAAATATAATTCACTAAATTTAATCAAATATAAAAATTCTAAGTATGTTCAATATTTCGATGAATCAAAATAACAAATTACAATTTCAATTATTCAATAAGCATTCAAATATATTTAGAATACTCATTATCCTAAATCCCTAGCCCTACTGCCCTAGCCAACAAAGAAAAAAAAGGAAAAAGGGGCAAATAAGCCCAAATACTAACCAAAAAGGTCAAATAAGTCCTTGTATAAGAGACTTTGTCCGGCCGTCGCCATTTGGGGCAGTTCCCGGTGGAATGTTTTGATGAAGTTTTTTGAGAATCTTATTCATTAAGTCTTGTTTACTCATACCAAATTTCAGCTAACAATTCAACGGGGAAGGCATTCAAATAAATTCTTGAAGATAACCGCGCTTTTAACTGCGCAGTTATCTTCAAGAATTCATTTGAATGTCTTCCCGATTGAATTTTTAGGTGAAATTTGGTATGAGTAAACTAGACATAATGAATAAGATTCTAAAAAAAAATCATAAAAAAAATCCAAAGGATACTATCCCAAATGTTGACGGCCAGACAAAGTTTCCTAAATAATATTAATAAGCTTATTTTATAAATTAGAGGCCCCTAAAATTTGGAGGCCCTAGACACTTGTCTAGGGTAACTCCCCCTATGGCCGGCCCTGGTTACATTTGAGTAGTTGACTGAACTCTTATTTGTTTACTGTTTCAGAATGCAGTACAGGCCATATGTAAGGAGGTTGAAGCTTTAGTGGTTAACTGTGGAAAGCCAAAAATGTTTGATGCAATCAAGCTGCCTCCTCAGGAACTCTATAATTTAGTCGAAGTATGCTATAGATATTTTTGTGAAGCAGATTTGGTTCTTTTCAGGGACACTTCTAATTTTCTATCTATTATAAATCATAGACATTTTGCCTTGTTCTTTCTTAATGTAATTATTTACTCCATCCCAAAATGTTTGTCCTGTACCATATTTGGCTATATTCAGTTGCCCACTTATCCATGCTTAACAACATCATCCGTACAATTCAGCTTTTTCTTATTTTACATGTCATATCCCCTTTGTCACCAACATAATGGGATGTAGGGAGTAATTAGCAGTATTTGTAGCCACCCTGACTCCCTGAGCCATGCTTTAATGCACTTGTTATTTTTCATCCAACTATTCAGTTTCTGCTCTCACAAGTCATAGGAACTGATTCTTGTTACGTACATTTTTATACTTCTACAGGAAATTGCTGGGGCTAAACTTTCGGAACTTTTACAAATTAAAAATAAGATTCCTAGAAGGAAAGCATTGTCATTGTTAGAGTCTGAGGTTACAAGCATACTTTCAGAAAAGGGCTATGTACAGAAGATAGAAGAGCTTGTACTCAATGAACTTTCACTAGAGTCATTGGAAGAAGAGGATGAAGAAGTCGTTGTTGACGGTGAAGTTGATGAAGGTGATGTTCACATAAAGCCAGCTGGAAGGAAATCTATTCCCCTGGTAGTACCCTGAATTTATTTATTCATAATTCCATGCATTCTCATTTCACTAGTCCTTTAAAAAAGAAATTGGTTCGATAGCTCTGTAGTCTCGTTTGAACTTTTCTTTGGTATTGCCAAAGGAGACATAAGTAATATTGATATGCTATGTAAATCTAGTATATCCGTTGCAACAATTTGACTTTCACATTATCCAAAACATAAAATTGACCATTAACAACTTTGGCTAATTTTTTCTACTTCGAGAGAAACTTAAAAAGAGATCTTATATATGCTTGTTTAATACTCCCTCCGTATCATTATAAGAGTCGCGGTACACTTTTCACATAGTTTAAGATAATGTTATAGGTTATTGCAGACTTCTTAAAAAGTAAGAGGTTTTTGGTGCTGTAGCAGTATTGTATACTTCATTAAAGTGTATTGTACCTACTTTTGAGATAGATTTATTTCTGAAAATGAATATGTGACAATTAATTGTATGTAATCTATAAGGTCATTCTCTCTTATCTCGATATAGAGTTCATAGTAGGTTTTAACACACTTGTTAAGAAAAATAGGTTAAATACAAAAGAAGAATGTAAAATATAATATTTATTTGGTAGGTGATAACAGATGAGATAAGATAGTTTGAGTATTGAGGAAGTAGTTGATTTGATAGAGAGGGAACTATATACTTGAATATTCAAATGGAACATTTTTACAAGAAAAGTAGGAAAAGGCAGGTGAAGTATTTTTTGAAACTGCCACTTAAGAGAAGTTTACAAGACATAGAGAGTATTCCTCGGTCCCGTATCAAAGCTCCCATAGCAAAAGGGCACAATTTTTTAGGCAAGTAATTAAATAAAGTATTTCGAGGACAAATTTTAGGAAAGAGAAAGATTAAAAAAGGTAAATAATTAAAGTAAATAGTTGGGTGAGTGAGAATATAATTGGGTGGAGTATTTGAGGAATAGTGGTATTAATATGAGTGTGTGTATATCTAAAAATGTATTGATAAAATTATCATTTAACGCCTATAATTTTTTCCCAAAAGGGAAGGGAACCTTGATATGAGATATCCTGAAAAAGGTAAGCGGGAACCGTAAATTAGGACAGAGGGAGTATATTATATCTACAAACATATTTTAATTTTACATGCAGAGTTTTATGTGTTCAAGTATTTTTTAATTGTAGTCTTTTAGAATGATATTACAATTTTACCCAAAAGTTAAACATACCTTGCTGATGTATAGGGCGTGCTGTCTTTGCCTGAAAAATGTGTTCTGGTCTTATCTTGAGGTAAAGTTTATAGTAAGTTTAGACACACTTTTTACAAGAAGTAGGCAAAATGGAAAGTGAAAATGTAAAATATAATATTCAATTGGTAGCCGATGACTTGAATACTTGATTAGATAATAGAATTGAAGTAGTGATGAAGTAGTTGATGTGATAGAGGGAACTGTAAAATTCAATATTTAAATGAAAAGTGTTTACTTGAAAGGAGAAAAGTAGGACAAGTGTATTTTGAAACTGCCACTTGAGGAATAAGCAAATTTATGAGACATAGGTAGTATATGATATCTGGAAACAATTTTATACAACAACAACATCCAAGCCTTAGTCCCAAAAGATATTGGGGTCGGCTAACATGAATCGATACATGATATCACCACCAAAAGGAAAAGAAAGAAAATAAAGATAAAAAAGATAAGCGATTATAAAAAGATAATATAAAAAGAGATGAATATACATAAAAATGATAATCTGGAAACAATTTTATCATATAAAAAAATTGTAGACAGATGTTTTCAGTTTTACCCTGAAGTAAAACATATCTTGCTGTTTTGTTTTTATTAGATTGTTGTAAATTTGCTTCAACGATGTCCTTTAGAAGAAACCAAATATTAAAACGAGAAGTATGAAGTCGTGTAAGGACTATCTACTTATTTTTATTATTAAGGTTGATATTGTGTTTTGCTGTCTTTATTAATGTTTCAAAGAAGCTAAATTATATTTTGCTCATTAGATGTTGCTCTCGCCATTGCCAACAACTCCAATAGGTCATTTTACAAAGTTGAGCAGACCCTTTGTGGGATGCATGTGGTGTTGTATTATTGTACTACATATATATACATATTAATATTTGACTTCAGGATGTATGCAGTCTTAGATGATTGTGTATTAACATTTGAAGTGTGATACTTGTAACTTGTAGTGGGGGTTTTACACATCTTTTAATCTTTAGAGTTCAGATGCGGTTTAAACTTATTGAACTTCGCATCTTTTATGCTGTTTGTTTTGGAAATGACTTTTCTTACACTACCAAATATCATTTCGGGAGTCTGCATGTTGCAACTTTTCTACTAAATCAGATGTCAAGAATTTGTGAGTAGAACTATAGAAAAGAGAAGACATAGTTGGATTCTAATCTTTTCGTAGTGGTCCCATCTGGTTGAAAAACCCCCCCAGGTAAACACTCATAAAAAGAATTTTCCAAGATAAAAGTCGTTAAGAATTTTTGGGTCAAATACGTAAACTTCTAGAAATTGAAGTTCTATTCTATATAAAACTAAGCACATTTATTAACTTTTTTATTTGTTCCATTTTTGTTTCTGAACTACTATCATTTTATTAATTTGCCATGTTTTGATTTCGCATCCAGCTATTCTCTGAGGTAGACGTGAAGCTTGTATTTAAAGAGATCACATCCAGATTGTTGCGCAAGCGGATTGTGGAGGTGAATATTCAGTGTGATCATATATAAAGATTATCTCATTATATTGAAAATTAGACAACCATGATAGTTCATTTTGGCACCTTATTTTTGTACAGATTTAATGAACTGACTTTTCTAAACTGGAAAACCATTTTGCCATTCAGATATCTCTATTTGGCAGTTTGGCATATTTGTAAATGCCATCACTTCACTCTAGATATCTGTTGAGTTAACAACATTTCACCTGTGATTTGACTTTTGGGTATAGCCTACGTTTGCGAACAGATTGCTTTTCTCTAGGTATATCTTATGAGTATGCATGTATACATGTGTTTTTATATGGCTATAATAAAAGTTAGTTGAGATACTTGGGTGTATCTAAAATACATGTCGATCTAACTTTATACTTCATTATCAGTTATGTGATCACAAAATGCTTTTGTGTTGTTTTTGTAAACCTCTTGAGACTCTTGGGGTGTTTTCTATTAGTTGATCTCTTTTTCCATCAATTTAGGTCATTATATTATATTACTATTTGTAAAAAGTTGTTTTCTGCCCTTACGAGTATTTGTTTGACAGGGAGGAAAGAGAAGTGATGGAAGAACTCTTCAGGAGTTACGCCCAATCAATTCGAGTTGTGGGCTACTCCCCAGAGCACATGGAAGTGCTCTTTTTACTCGAGGAGAAACACAGGTGGATGTTTGTTTGGCCTAACAACAATTTGCATCAAGTTTTTGTCTGCACTGTCTGCTGTGTTTATATATGTGTGAAATGTGCACACATCTTTGTTTTTCTAAGACAATTTACATTGTAGACAACATAGTACTCTAGTGTAGGTCTCTAGCAGACAGGTCAACCACAAGAGAACTTAGAGTACGGTAATATCTTTCTCAAATGTGTATCACATCCTTTAGAATGTATATTAAGATATGTGTATGCATGCATAAAGTAATGCATATATAATATGTATATTAAAATGTGCATAAAAGTAACATAGAACATGGAAAACTTTTGAATATGTAAATTATTACAGATAATTACTCATCCGATTTAGCATTTATGAGGAGATATCTTAGAGATCTCAGAATCTCTAAATATCCCCAATTATCTTGTCTTTATTAGGGAATCTTAATTAGGAGGATTCCTTCCTTATTCCATTTTTCTCTAGCTATATATATTCTGTATTCATCTCATTGTATTATACAGAATAAGAGAAATAAAATACATTTTACTTTCTCAAGTTATTTCTACATGGTATCAGAGCGTGGTTATTCTCTAAAATGATTAAGTTCGGATCCTATGGGATGACCACCGAGAGAGATGGATCTATCCCAGTCACCTCTGAACATTCAGAGGTTGTCCCAACTGGAGATGGCAGCAACCAGAATATCATTGGAAGCATAGTCACCACTCCTAATCAGTCAGATTCGATTATTACTTGCCATAAACTGAATGGTAGTAATTATCTACAATGGTCTCAGTCCGTTATGATGTATGTGTGTGGAAAAGACAAGGAGGACTATTTGACAGGTGATGCATCTGCTCCAGATCAAGGAGATCCGGGCTACAAGAAGTGGAAAAAGGAGAATTATACTGTGATGTCATGGCTCATCAATTCCATGACAACCAGTATAGGAGAAAATTTCCTACTATACAAAACAGCTCAAGAGATCTGGGAGGCTGTGAAAGAAACATACTCAACTTCAGATAACACTACTGAATTATTTGAGGTTGAATCAATGCTACATAACCTTCAGCAGGGAGAATTGAGTGTAACTCAATACTTCAACAACCTTGTGAGACTCTGGTAGCATCTTGATGTGTTTGAGACATACAATTGGCCATGTTCTAAGGATAAGAAGTTATATCAGGAGATTTGTGAAAGGAAGAGACTCTTCAAATTCCTGTCAGGTTTAGACAAGAGTCTAGATGAGGTTAGGGGCAGAATAATGGGAAAAAAACTCACCCTTAGAGAAGCCTTCTCAGAAGTCAGAAGAGAAGAAAGCATAAGAAAGGTAATGATGGGTCTGAAATCTCAAGGCCAACAACAAAATATTGAAGGGTCAGCCTTATATACCTCTTCCAGACAGAATGAAAACAAGAAAAAAGGGAGGCCATGGTGTGATCACCGTAAGAAACCAGGCCATACCAAAGAAACATGCTGGAATTTGCATGGTAAACCTAATGATTTCAAACCAAGCAAAGGGAAAGGAGCCTATGTAGCTACTGGAGATAAAGAAGATATGGGCACTTCTAATCTTGCTGCATTTACCAATGAGCAGATTGAGGTTCTTCAACATCTAATAAGTCAGAGCAAGGGGCCTGCACCATCAACTAGCCTTACTGCTCAGACAGGTAATGCCCTAACAACCCTAGTTGCACACAATCAGCCCTATTGGATTGTTGATTCAGGGGCATCAGATCACATGACTGGAGACAGTAAGTTTTTTGCTTAATTGATCCCTATGAAGAATAAGGTAACTGTGAAGATTGCTGATGGAACTACTTCAGCAATAAAAGGGACTGGAAGAGTCAAAATTTCTGACAAGATAGTGCTTAACAATGTGTTATATGTGCCAGATTTAAAGTTTAACCTCTTATCAGTCAGTAAACTGAATAGTGATACACGTTGCCTAACTAAATTCTCTTCACAATTGTGTGAATTTCAGGATTTGGATTCGGGGAGGATGATTGGCAGTGCTAAGCAAAGTGGTGGACTCTATCTTCTGGAACATTCACCACATTCACCCAACTCCACCAACAAGACAACTTCTAGTGAGAGTCAATTCAACCATAAGTTCTTAAGGAGTCTTAGTAGGAGTCAATTTGATACTCAAATTCAGTTATGGCATTATCGTCTTGGTCATCCTAATGTCTTGTACTTAGAAAAAATATTTCCTTCATTATTCATAAATAAAAGTTCTGCCTTTGATTGTGAATTTTGTCAACTTGCTAAACATACTAAAAGTCACTATCCCAGTCTACCTTACAAACCATCTAAACCTTTTTCTCTCATCCACAGTGATGTTTGGGGCCCATCTAAGGTCAAAAATCTCACTGGCTCAAGGTGGTTTGTTCTGTTTATTGATGATCATACACGTCTATCCTGGGTCTTCCTCATGAAAGATAAGTCAGAAGTCAATATTATCTTTCAAAAATTCTATTCTATGATCAAAACTCAGTTTCAAACCAAGATTCAGGTTTTTAAAACTGATAATGCCAAAGAATATTTCTCATCCAATTTAGGAGAGTTTCTGTCAAAAAAGGGGATTATACACATTAGCTCCTGTGTTGACACCCCACAACAGAATGGGGTGGCAGAAAGGAAGAATAGACACTTAATGGAAGTTGCTAGAGCCCTTATGTTCACCACTCACACTCCTAAACACTACTGGGGAGAGGCTGTCCTAACTGCAACTTACATGATAAATAGGATGCCCTCCAAAACTCACAAATTTAAAACACCATACCAAATCCTATCTTATCTACATCCTCGCATCCCTATTACCAATCTTCCACCAAAGGTCTTTGGTTGCAAAGCATTTGTTCACAATCATTCTCCAGTTAGGTCAAAACTGGATCCTAAATCCTTACCTTGTATATTCATAGGATATGCTGCCAACCAGAAAGGATATAAATGTTATTCTCCTGTCAACAAAAAGGTCTACATCACAATGGATGTAACCTTTTTTGAAAATCAACCTTTCTATTCCAAAACTGAATTTCAGGGGGAGAACCACAATGAAATCCAGTCTTTGAATCCTATTTCAGACACTATTCCAGACCTCCAAGAATCTGAATCTAACCACACTGAATCCATACTCCTAGACAGACCTGAATCAAACCCTCCAGACAATACAGTCTCTCCACCAACCACACCATTTCAGCCACCAACTTTATCACCCCAATCATTACCCCAAAATCCTACACTAAATCAAAATTCCCCATTCTACAAGAATACCTATAAGCGGAAACCTAGAACCAGAGTTCCAGAAGAAGAGCACATCACTCCAATTAACACCACCCAATCATCTGACTCAAATTTGAGTCCTGATGACAAAGAGGTTGAGGCTATAGAAGGAGATGATGAGGAACCAGACTTGCTTATTGATATCAGAAAGGGAGTAAGGGAGTGTACCAAGCATCCTATCTATAATTTTGTTTGTTATAAGAAACTATCAGCAAACTATCAAACTTTTATTTCAAAGATTGATAGTATTCAGGTTCCTAACAACATCAAGGAAGCCCTTGAACATCCAGGGTGGAGGAAGGCTGTCCATGATGAATTAGCAGCATTGAAGAAGAATGGAACTTGGGTGCTTACAGATTTGCCAGCAGGGAAGAGAACTGTTGGCTGCAAGTGGGTATTTACAGTTAAATATCAGGCTGATGGAAAGATTGAAAGGCTGAAGGCAAGGCTGGTTGCTAAGGGGTTCACCCAAGCTTATGGCATTGATTATTCAGAGACATTTGCACCAGTGGCAAAGTTGAACACCATTAGAGTGCTGTTATCACTCGCAGTGAACCTAGACTGGCCATTACATCAACTAGATGTTAAGAATGCCTTTCTTAATGGAGACCTAGAAGAGGAAGTATTCATGGATGTACCACCTGGATTAGAAGACTTAGGGGAAATCTGGTCAGGTTTGCAGACTGAAAAAGTCCTTGTATGGACTAAAGCAGTCTCCTAGAGCATGGTTTGATAGGTTCACAAGATCAGTTATTAAACAAGGGTTCATGCAATGTCAGGCAGACCATACACTGTTTGTAAAGAGAGCAGACTCTGGAAAATTGGCTATTCTTATAGTATATGATAGGATTCCTATCAGTATATGTTGATGATATTATTATGACTGGGGATTATAAGGCTGAATTGGACAGATTGAAGGCTCATCTAGCAAGAGAATTTGAGATCAAGGAGCTAGGCGAGTTGAAGTACTTCCTGGGAATGGAAGTGGCAAGATCTAAGAAGGGCATTTTCATTTCACAAAGGAAATATGTTCTAGACTTGCTAAGTGAAACTGGAATGCTTGGGTGCAAGCCTATGGACACTCCTATGGATATATCAAAGAAGTTAGGCAGTGAGACTGAAAGTCCACCGGTTGATAAGGGTAGATATCAAAGGCTGGTAGGGAAGCTAATCTACCTATCTCACACACGGCCATACATTGCTTTCTCAGTAAGTGTGGTAAGTCAATTCATGAATGACCCAACCGAGGAACACCTAACTGCAATGTATAGAATTCCGAGGTACCTAAAAATGACTCCTGGAAAAGGATTGTTGTTTCAGAAACAAGGGACAAGGAAGATTGAAGTGTTTACAGATGCTGACTGGGCTGGAAGCCTCTTAGACAGAAGGTCAACTACTTGTTACTGTACCTATGTATGGGGTAATTTAGTCACCTGGAGGAGCAAGAAACAATCAGTGGTTTCTAGAAGTAGTACGGAATCTGAGCTCAGAGCTTTAACACAAGGAATCTGTGAAGGATTGTGGTTAAGAAGATTGATGAATGAGCTCAAACTCCCATTTGAAAGCTCCATCCAGATCTCATGTGACAACCAGTCTACTATCAGTATTGCTAAGAATCCTGTTTATCATGACAGGACCAAACACATTGATATAGACAGAAGGTTCTTATCAGAGAAGATTGCAGCAAAGGATATCCAGCTGAACTATGTTCCAACCAGACAGCAAATAGCGGATATACTCACCAAGGCACTTCCCAGAATTCAGTTTGAAGACTTATCTAGCAAGCTGTGCATGGATGATATCCATCACCCAGCTTGAGGGGGAGTGTAGATTATTACAGATAATTACTCATCCGATTTAGCATTTATGAGGAGATATCTTAGAGATCTCAGAATCTCTAAATATCCCCAATTATCTTGTCTTTATTAGGGAATCTTAATTAGGAGGATTCCTTCCTTATTCCATTTTTCTCTAGCTATATATATTCTGTATTCATCTCATTGTATTATACAGAATAAGAGAAATAAAATACATTTTACTTTCTCAAGTTATTTCTACAGAATATATCAGTGAGTTTAGTGATGCCATTCTCGGAACATGTAAAATGCGGTCTTCATTGTTCAAATTTCACTTTTCAGTTTCCAGCACTACAAAACTACTCATCCAGTGACATTCTATCATAGCAATAATTATTTTCTTGTAGCAAGTCTTTAAAATGCTTCGGAAAGAACGAGACCACATAAGTAAGCATGTCCCTAATAAAGTAAGAAAGTGTTTAAGGATGGTTGGTATTGATTGACTCAAAGACGTCAACAAAGTCTTGAAGACAAACAAAATGCCAAACGATTGTGGGAGAAGCACATAGGTCAACCAAGTTGCTCATATAAAACTCATGACTTCATGTATTAAAAATGAAGCTGTTAATTTGAATTCATCTTTGTGGCTTTTTTATGTGATGTTAAAATTATGCCTCAACGATGATGTTTGTTTAATCTCCTTTTGTTTTCGACTGCCCATGTTATTAGTCTTTAGCAGTGGTTACACTTGGTGACAAACAAATGGCACAAAGGATAGATAACATTGTTGATGAAGATGAATATAAGAGATTCTATCTGCAGGTATCAGTTGCGCAAATGTAGATAACATTGTTGATAGTATTCAGAATATCTGATGCCTTTTTGTGTTGTATTTTGTCTTCTGTTAATTACCGGTATCAAAAGCATTGAATGGTTTTGATAGAGAGTAAAGAGGCAAGGGGAAAAATATTAAAAATTGATGTTTTGTAAAACTGAAACAAACATGTGTAAGAAGAATGAAAAGAACATGAAGTGGCGAAGGTATGCCCAGCAAGACAAAGTTGCTCAACAGCCTAGAGCTGTGCCCAACTCTAAAATAGTCATGAAATCTTCTCATCTCTCAACTCTAAAAGAAGCCTTATTATAATCTTTCACAATATTTAAATAAGGTAAAGAAATATTCATAATAGATCAGTTATGCTTATAGCAAACTCTAAACTTATGCTCATTGGATTATTGATTTATTGCTTATTTATGTCACTTATTGATACCCCAATTCTCCTCTGATTTTGCTGGTCACGAGTTCAAGACCCGTATCATGTTTCAATTAATTTCTTAATGAATGCTATTATCTCACTGTTTTGGATCCATGTTCTTTTGATGCTTTTTATTTAGTGTATGATTAACTAGTATTCAAACTTATGACTACTGTGTAGTGGGTTCACTAGTCAACGTTTCCCCCCACTTTGTCTGCTACCTCCATCGTCATGCATTGCATATAGAAGTAACAACTGGGAAGCTCCCAGAAAGAATTTCAAATTTTATGATATTTCACCTTTATGTTTTTCCTTATATCTTCATTCCTCCATTTTATTTTATTACTCGAATATCTAAAGATGAGAGCCACTTACTTTTCTATTTTCCTCCGCTTGTTCCGGTGAGCCTCAATGCTGCTCTGTATTGTTATTTGAACACCATTGCTAAGTAGAACACTTTATCCTTTTGACTGTGTCTAGTACTCTTTTCCGCCTTCATGTGTTGGTGAAGTTGGAAGGATGGGAGCACCATCTAGGAGGGAAATTGGTCATGGAATGCTGGCAGAGAGAGCGCTAGAACCCATACTGCCTTCTAACGATGATTTTCCTTACACAATACGTGTTGAGAGTACAATAACTGAAAGCAATGGCTCATCAAGGTTTGATTTTTGAATACTTTACTGAGCTATGTACACATGTTTATAATTATTAGATTCTTACTGTATGTGTACTACTTTCTTACTTCTGGTAGAGTAAAAATCCTAAAAGCCCCTTGGATTTATGTTGCCCTCTTCACGTGACTGTTTATTAATTGCTGTGAGACAGCATGGCATCCGTATGTGGAGGGTGCTTAGCATTGCAGGATGCCGGTGTTCCTGTGAAGTGCTCTATAGCGGGTGTAGCTATGGGTATGGTTTTGGACACTAAAGAATTTGGGGGCGAAGTAATTCCCCTAATTCTTTCAGACATCACAGGATCAGAGGATGCTTCCGGCGATATGGATTTTAAGGTGCTATTTGTAGAATATCTTGTGTGAATTTATGTTTCTATGATTGCTTATCATTGTTTGTCGCAATTTGGGAACCCAAAATGACAAAGATATTTGGGTAGTAACAATCAGTTTGAACCTCAAATCTTTTATACGATCACTTATTGCAGCTGTGTAAGAGGCAGCAAAGCTGAATGACTTTAATGCCATGTTACCTTTGCTGATCTGGTGCAGTTGCCAATATGATTAACACTACCACCTGTTTGCCTGCCTTCTCAATTCATAGGAGCAAATAGACTTATTTAATATTTGGGAATTGGGCAAATGAAGAAAGCATCAGATTCTATTTCCCTTTTCTTCCATGAGAACTAACTAGGCTAAGGTTTGGACTATTTTACATGGGAGACCCAAGGACAAAACACATAGGTAGCACGTCCTATAATATGAAACTCGAAGAGCCTATACATGTATTCCACATATGTACTATGAGATGTTTTAACAATATTTATTACTCTAATTGAAATTTGAATAAAACTGGTCTAGGTATGATATGGCATGGATATATTTATCGGACTATGGTCGTTCTTTCTGTGAACTTCTGCTTATTGTCATAGTATGTCTGGTAGCAGCAACGAGTGCATGTACATCTAGGACTACTGCACTAGAGCCCAAGATACCTAAAGTGCAGTCCATGTTTTTTCAGTTTATTTCTTAAGTTTATCAGCTTTCTTATCTGCTTTATCAATTTATTTCCTATGTCTATCAGTATCCTATTTGCGTTAAACTTAACTTTCTGGAGGTTGTGATGGTTACAACTCCCTTGGTCACTTCCCTTTATACTTGGGGTTCTCTTTGTTTCCTATATAAGGCTTATTAGTTGGTATACGAAACTATCTTTGGAGTAATAATGTACTTTGTGTGTGCCACAAGGCCTGCATGTTTCTTTGCCTAGCATGAGAAGTTATGTTATTTTTCAGAGTTCAAACCACCATAGCTTTCCACTTTTGTCTATACTTTTACACTTACATTTTCATGGAGAACAGGGAGGAGGTTGTGCACATTATCCCATTACATATTCCCTGAATTGCATCTATTGATCTGTCAGTAAAATTTCGAAATAGATACATTGTTAGGTAATGTGCCCTTCTTCTTCATCATCTTCTTCATCGTTACCCCAGTGCCGCAAAGGCTCCCACCTACGGTGGGGTAAGGGGGGTCGGATGTACACAGTCTTACCCCTGTACTAAAGCACAGAGAGACTGTTAGGTAATGTGCCCTCTGTTGGATAAAACACGGTAAGATCCTGAGTGCACGGTTTTGTTCAAAGCCTATTTGAGGTATTGTCTGAAGATATGTTTTCTGGTGATGAGGAAGAATATTCTTCCTCTCTAGGGTGAAGAAACGAAGAAACTTGACATTGTTATAGTCCTAAAGAATTAATTCCAATTTTGGTCCTAATGTCCTATGAGTTTTATTCTAGTCCTAAATGTGTTACTTAAGCAAATCAAATAAGTGTATATGTAAGACTGCAATGAGAGTTCTAAGCTACGATCTCTTTTTAAACCTGGAGAGTCCTCATGGCTGATTGACTATGGATGACATCATGCATGACCAATTTTAGGTGCATATGGGGTCATCTAAGTGTGTGTCGGTGTGTGGTGCGATGATGTTAAAACCATTAAGCTCGTTGTGTTACATTGTATAAGGGCTACAGAGACTTGAGATTTCTTCCATCAGCTCATTGGGGAAACTATGCCATTATGGAAAAGAAGTTTGATCCCTATGCTTGTGATGTGGCATCTATGGAATTGTAGAAACTACCTGAAGTATATAAGAGTCTATAGTCTTTACTGATTGAAAAGTGCTGATTTGGTAAATACAGAAACACCCATTTCAGTTTTTTAAGCCAAATGCTGAAAAACACTTTTTTTTTTAGTTTTTGCAAATGTGGCCTTAATGCTATTGTAGACGGTGTTGAAGTCTGCAGTGATCATGTTATTAATAGCGTGGGGGTAGAAATGGGTTTTAATTGTGCTTATGTCCTGCAGTCCTGTGCACATTGCATAGTATTCATCACCTCATCAACCGTCCTGATTCTGTCAGAAATTGGTTCATTATACTCTTGACAGAATCAGGAGGGTTGATGAGGAGATGAATACTATCTAATCATATCTTCAAGGAAGTAAACAACCAGCCAGATTTCCTGGCAAACTTGGGTTATTAGATGTTTAGGGATCAATTGGTGTTTCTGTGATAGATTATTTAAGAATGTGGTCTTTGTTGTACAAAAAGGGGTCTGTGACATTAGAGTCTGTCAACCTTTTTAGCGCCCCTAGGTTGAGGTGTTAGCTTTTCTAAGTGGTTAGTAAAATTCTATCATTATTGCATAACAGTGGTCCTTAAACAACTACACTAATGTAACAGAATTCTAATAGGATAATATTGATTCAACTCCCAATCTAACTGTAGGACTTTAATGGAATTTAGATAAGGTATTATAGATAGGGTTTTCTACTTGATGAAGCTCTCTTAACTAATGTCATATTTTATAAAATCATTTTTGTACTGTAGGTTGCTGGAAATGATGATGGAATCACTGCATTCCAAATGGACATTAAGGTAGCTAATCTACTTGTTATTATGTAATTGATGATTAGCACATTCATATTCGGTTCAATTTTTTTTATATTGGTTGAACTGTTGAAGGATATCTACTCTTCCATGAGCAACTTTATGTTGGCTTGTGGGGACTTAGACTATCTGACTATGACGATGATTATACAATTTCACCTCAACACATCTCTCATGCCATTCTTAGGTGGTTGGGATTACGTTGCCAATCATGAAGCAAGCTCTTTTACAAGCAAAAGACGGTCGAAAAAAGATCCTTGGTACCCTCACCCTAACTTTATTTCCATATCGCTGTGCTTGAATTTTAATCAATGGGAATGCATGATATGTTTGTGTATATGGAGATGAGCTTAACTGGATTTTCTACTTTAGATACTTTGATTTTAAGATTATTTTCTGTATTAAATTGCTGGTACAATAAAGAACACTTTAGCGGTATTTTTATGCAATGCATGCATTCGTTAGTTTCATTGGATACTGTGAGTGTCTAGTATGTTCATATGCATATGAGCTTTGAGGCAGTAGTGCTGGTGATCGTACGGTGTCTGTTTGTGTGTAATACTTGAGATTAATTTAAAAATGATTAATAGTACTACCCATACCAACGAGGTGCATCTCCTTTTAAAGGAGCTCATCAACTAAGAACAAGTTAAGTGTGATCGCACAGGAGAGTCTCATAATGGGTGAGACCCCTAGGAAGTTTCTCAAGGCGCACACGAGTAAGGATAAATTGTGCGGTAAGAAACTCGTGTTAGTTTGTGAGGACATTACCAGAGGTCTAGAGAGTGTGTATGACTAACTACCTCGGACCCTGTGGGGCCGGGGTGTTACATTGTGTTTTCCCCTTCATCTCTCTGTTGCTTAAAACATTCCACTATAAATTAAGCTCGCTTCTCCCCTTTTTTGTATTTCTTAGCTGAGATGTTGAAGAGCTCGCCGCCTCCTTCAAAGATGCTATCAAAGTATGCTCCACTAATTCATGTGATCAAGGTTTGTTCTTGATGCAATACCATATTTTTAGAGTATGATGATATTATAATGTATTTTCCTTCCCTAATTCAATTATTTCACAGGTCGAACCTGATAGAATTAATCTTATAATTGGATCTGGTGGGAAGAAAGTGAAGGGCATTATTGAAGAAAGTGGAATTGAAGATATTCAGATACAAAATGATGGAGTCGTAAGCTAGAGAAATATCTTATTTGGTTGTTTATGTTTCGCATTAGAAGATCAAATTTACAATCTTAAGAGCCACCGATCTGCCAATTTGCAGGTGAAGATAATAGCAAAGGATTTGGAAACTTTAGAAAAGGCCAAAGCCATCATCCTCAATCTCACAATGGTTCCAACAGTTGGTGACATATACAGGTCTGTTTTATTGAACTGCCTTTGAATTCAAACAGTTTCATTATCAAGGTCAATAAAGATTTGGTTTACTGTTAAGTGAAAGCAAATGCAGTTTTATTTACTGTTATTGTTTATATGATAGGAACTGGGCAGATTAATGCTAATAATAAAAATAATAATAATTGTACGGGTAGTATAATTAGAAGGGAAGGGATGAATACTGAGAGGCAGAAATTCAGTGGGAATTTGGGCTAGTTTACCTTGTTCTGCCATTGTAGCTACTTGAGATATTTTGTACGCTTCTCACAATTGACAGATTAATATACAAATCGTTCTTCTATTTTGCCTTGGATTCGCTAGTCTCTATCATTATACAACTTTTTGTGTCACAGTTTCGCAATTGAAATAACCCCTCTAGCTGGAACTCTTTTCCTATTCTCTTTTCACACTTATGAAATTAGTTTCACCTTAAAAATGAAATTATTTGCCATCATTAGCATATTTATTGTAGTAGATTTTAATACTTGAAATGCTTATGTTGCGCCGTGATATGATGGTACTAATAGAATCTGTCTGGACAGACTTGTCTTCCAATTTCTTTTTTTAATTTGCTTGAAATTAACATTTTTGTCAAACTAAAATTGACTTATTAAATACTAAGTTGTTGAGTACTTTTTTCTTTCTTTTTTGGTATTCTTGTTCCTCGAGCAGGAATTGTGAGATCAAATCAATTACTGCTTTTGGAGTTTTTGTAGAGATTGCTCCTGGCAGAGAGGTATTATCACTTTAAAAGTTTTCGTGAAGAACTCAACGTGTATATACTTTGTGTGCCTTTTGTGATTAAATGTATTACAATTTACAAAACAGTGGATATTTTGTCCTGTAATCTGGAAATGGCTCATCTACACTTTTTAATGTAGGGACTATGCCATATTAGTGAATTGAGTACAGATTGGCTGGCCAAAGCAGAAGATGTAAGCTCTCTCTCACTTCGTGTATTTACAAATTAAAAAATACAGTTCTGTAGAGATGTGTGATCTGTTTTCATCACTGGTTCAGGTTGTTAAAGTAGGAGAGCATATTGATGTCAAGCTTATTGAGGTTGGACTTGTATTTATGATTTTATTGAGTAACTTTTACTAGTATTTATTTCTTAGACGTGATATAAAATTCCAAAACATAAGGTGTAGTTCGGTAAGACGTCATGAAGTGTGATGCAATGTAATCAAATGCAAGTGTGATGTAAAATCCACTTATAGTTTACCTCCGCCCTAAAAAAGAAAGCCTCATTTGAGTTGGATGCTTTTTTAGTTACAGTCGACTCAACCAAGCTACACGATTTTACAAATTATGAATGACTACTTAATCACTAAAACATATTATTAAAATTGTTTAGCGTAATCGTCTAAAACTGGTTGTTGCTTGTCTTTACAGAAATTTTACTGAAATAAAAGCTGACTTTAAAAACCTGCCTCTTTTCTTTGGGATGAAGTGCTGGAAACATGAATCTTATTTAATGATGGAGGGAGTATTTGATTACATTGCACTACACTTGTTAAAATGCAACCTTAATTATGAAAACCAATTTGCCTGATTGCAGATCAATGACAAAGGACAACTTAGGTTAAGCCGTCGTGCATTGTTGCCAAAACCTGACACAGAAAACCCTAGTGCAAAGGACAATGTTGTTTTACACAAATCTCCTGAGAAAAGTAAACCTGAGATGAGTGTATCAAATGTTGTCTTAGAGGTAGAGAATGCTAAGACCACTAAAATAAAGAGTGCTGTCTTAGAACATAAAAGCCCACACAAGAAAGTGGCGAGCCCCTTGAAGGATGGGCGAAGTGCAGCTGAAAACAAGCCATCAAAGGGTAGTGGTAAATCTGCGATCAACCTTCCAAGCAAATGTTGAGGTAGACCAAAAGTTGGGATAGCGAATGTTGTGTTACACTCCAGTTTTCGTCAAACTTGGTGGATATGGCATCTCCCCTTGTAGCAAACAAAGGTATGAACTATATCCATTAATCAAATACTCTTTAGTATTAATGGGATTTGATATTATTAAGTTGTTGGAAATAACCAACAAAGGATAGAGTTATTTCCATAGTTTGTTACTTTGTGCCAAATCTTTCATCCCGTCTTAACTCTTAAGCCCCTGTTTGGTTCAAAAGAGGGGAGAGGAGGAGTACAAGGTGATATAGAAATAGTGTTTGGGGTCAAAGAGTGAGGAGCAATTTGTTGTTGAAAAGATATCTAAAATTACTGTATTTAACTTGAATTTTGTTGTCATAAAAAACTCGTATATTTATTGAGTTGCAAAAGTTTGACTGTCATGTTTGACAACACGTGACTTTGACCATTAGTATAATTAGCTAGTTATTTTTTAAAAATTATAAAATGTTCATATTTTACATTGAGAGAAATTCGCCAATATTTTTAAAATGCAGTTTTTAGGACATTTAAATAAAATGTGGTCAAAGTTTGGTGTTTGAATAGAGAATTCCAATTGTTGTAACTAATAAAGAACGAGAGTAGTATTAATATGTAGAACAATAATAACATTGAACAACTTTCGCACTTCAAAAAAAAAAAACATAAGAAATTAAGGAAAAAAATAACTCCCTAAAATCCCCCAAGTATGAGGAGATTCGAGAAATTTTTAGCTTGTCCATTTTCCTCATTATTGAGCTCCTCAATCGAAACAATGTTTATGTGTTTTAGAGTGTAAGCAACAGATATGCTATCTTTTTATTTCAGGGATGTAGCATGTAAATACAACACATATTTTGTTCTCTTCCATTTTACTAGGTTGATCACTGCACTTTGGAGCTGTTGCAATCGCGCAGAACTGCATTCCTATGGTGGCAACGATACATAAAAAGTGAATAGTAAATGGAAAGAATATTCTCAGAATTTGATGAGCAAAAGAGGATCAAGTTAATGGGAGATGAAGCAGTTAGCAGAATTACTTGAGGCGTTATATGTGTTATTAATTAATTTATTATTGCTATCCGTTGCGAATTTTGTCTTCAACCAGCAATTGAAATTCTGTGTTTAATTCTTGTTTGTGAGTTGTAACTTGGTGTAAAAATATCCGGCGTTTTGAGTTGTCATTATATGCAATAAGCCAATAACCGAGCAGGAATATGTATCCGGCCTTTTTGTATGTCTCATACCATATTTGATTATATTGAAGTGGTTATAATCCATTTTTATTTTATTAGAGATTAGAGATATATCATGTATGGATGCCAGAATGCGTGTAGGAGCTTAGGAGCATTAAAGTACTTTAACATTTAGTAATGTCTTTGGCAAGAATTGCACTGTTTCTCCACCGTCTTGTCCAGGACCCAGGTACCTTTTCGTGGTCCCTTCTTAGGGTATGCTTGGGGGTTTGGGACTTTGGGGGAGGAAGAAACTTTGAAATAACTGAGAAATTGGTCATTTATTTTTCAGTCACAAACAAAAGCACAGTTTTACAATTTGTAATTAACCCTACTCACTTACCCAAAGAGTGAAAAATATAGGAAAAATTACCTTAAATAGGATTGAGTAAGTTTTTGACTTCAAAAATGTTTGATTTGATATGCTTTTCTTCTCGAAATAGGAGTTGTTATTGTTAAAAATATTGACATTAATGACGATAAATATTGACATGCTAAATTAGATGGCACTAGGGATGGACTCGGGCCGGGTGGCCCGACCCGGGACCGATACTGTTCCGGCCCGGCCTGACCCGGTGGCCCGGTCAGTGACCGGTCCGGGTAGGCCCGGCCCGTGGGTTTTCCGGTCCGGGCTCGGGTCACCCAAAACAAGGCCCGACCCGGTCGGGCCCGGTTCGGGCCAAAAACTATTTTTTTTTTCAATTTTTTTTAAATTTTCGGGTTGGGCTGGGTATTTTGGGCCATTTGGGGTGGTTTGGGAGGTTGGGGGTGGGAGGGGGGTTAATTAGGAAGAGAAAAAAACAAAATATAATGGGTCCGGCCCGACCCGAACCCGGTGGTTACCCGGGCCGGTCCCGGGTCCACCATTTCTGACCCGCCGGACCGCCCGGGCCTAGGCCCGACCCGGACCTGAGTCCATCCCTAGATGGCAGTAAATTAGACTTGGACTCGGGCCGGGTCAGGCCCGGGTTGGGCCTAAGCCGGATCGGGCCTGTGCCGGCGGTTCTGAATAGCTGGACCCAGGACCGGCCCGGGCTTTGTTTTGGGTGACCCGAGCCCGGACCGGAAACTCATCGGGTCAGGCCTACCCAGACCGGTCACTGACCGGGCCACCGGTTCGGGCCGGGCCGGAACAGTACCGGTCCCAGGCCGGTTCCGGGTCGGGCCACCCCACACGAATCCAAGTCTACAGTAAATACTATCATATTACTTTTATTTCAGAAAGAAAACATAACAATAATATTTTGAAATTCTGAAAACTATATACTTCTATTTCGGGAACTTTCCCAAAAGATAGGAGACCTAGAATGCCAAAAGTTTGGGTAAAGAAGTGCAGCATTGTAAGTGAGAGGTCAAATGTAATTGTAATGTGCTTTTTCCCTTCAAAAAGGGTTACTTACAACAAAATAACCCCATCTATTCATCGCCCCTCTTTCTTCCATTTTAAGAAAAAGTTTACATTCAGTATAGCACAAAAATGAATTCACAATCCTCCTTGCACAAACCCAGAAAAGATTCTATTACTCCTCGGTATGAGGCTGCTGGCTGATTTATAGCCTCTCAAAAATAGCTACCCCAAGTTGCATGTTTCTTTTTCCTCTGAGTGGGCGGCTGCTTCCAGATTCTAGTCTCAATTTTCTTTGAGTTTCATCAATTCATGCCTGAAAACTGATTTCATGAAGTCTGTTGGTTTTAGACTGAGATTCTAATCACTGATGTCATCATCTAGAAAATTGAGATCATCTTCTTCATCTTCGTCTGTTCTCCAATGATGAACTTCCAGAGATCCAGCAGCACCAGCTAGTGTCGCCATCTCCATCCCATTTCCACCACCATCGTGCTCCATGAAATCATTATCATCATATTCACCCGGTTCCATTTCACTGTACAGACCTTCCTGCATGAGATTATGAATAATTATAATAAGATTTTGGATCAACACAATCCAGATTGAAGAACCATTTAAAAAAACTGTATATATTAGGATCCCAGTAAATGGTTATTTGTATAATTATCTTTAAATAAAGGAGTAATTAACAGAACAGACAGGCAGTATAGGTGTGGGGCACTCAACTAATTAAACTACTTAAGGTAGAGCAGTTCTGTAAATGGTACATACAGATGTACATCAAACATATGCAAGTGAGCAAAACTCTAGAAAATTCAACAACCGTCTTATGCAAATAAACATACTTCAGAAGAAATTATCAGAATGAAAATGCATCGGGACTCGCGAGAATAAAAAAGGGAAAATAAGCATCATTTAGAAAAATGAGTAACCTTCTAAAAATTAGGAAAAAGATGACTCAACTGACAAAGAAATAAGGATACATTATAGGAAAATGAGCAACCGCTAATAAAATCACAAAAAACATAGCATGCCGTACAATACAATTTGTGAGGGTATGGCTAGTTAATACCTCATCTTCTTGAAGGACTTGTCTGTCTGACCCTACAATCCAGTCATAAAATAAACTTTCTTGCAGCACACTGTCAAGTACAATGGGATCATTGGACACTTTCCTCTGTCGTTCTCTAAGTCGCAGGTTATAATGGACATAGATCGCATCATTCAACCTTTTCTGCGCCAAATAGTTATGCCTTTGATCATGAACTCGGTCATAAATGCTCCAGTTATGCTCGCACCCAAAAGATGAGCAAGTTTGACTTAGTATTCGTACAGCTATGCGCTGTAGCTCTAAACAATTTATCCCATGCTGTTGCCACCATGCAGCTAGATAGGACTATATATGTCAGTACAACTTCAAAATTCCATACAGAAAAAGTAAAACACATATTTTCATTTCTCTAGTTCCACTAATGAAACAGTTCTGAAAAGATTATGGATAGAATATTAACCTGGATTCAGCTCCATTCTGGTACTAATTGCCAAATCAGTCCCAAAATCAGCTTTAGCAGCATTGAAATCAGATATCTAGATATTACAGGAGTTGCTGTTAGCAGCAGGCATCTTCATAAAACAACTTTAAAAATAATGATAATAATAATAATAGTAGTTATACTAAAATTAATATTAATAATGAGCTTTAACCTGCATAGAAGCAGAAATTCTTCGGGTACTGTCAGCTTCCAATTTAACAATACATGCGTTCAGCCCACGTACAACCTCTGGATGCTACCAAGAAACAGATGTAATAGCTAAGCCATTTGTTGAATAATTACATTATTTGAACTATTAAAGGAAATAAGCCTCTCCTACCGGGATAAAATCAGGACGATACCGGTATGAAGGATTCAAAAAGTAGGCAGACAGGTAGAGCGAGTGGTGAGATAAAATATTCCAATGACGGTCTATCACATCCCAGAAGAGTTGGTACTTACGCACGTCATCGTTATGATTAGCTTTAATCACAAGTTTTGCTCTGTACATATCATTGTAGATAAAAGGTATCGTATGGCTTTCATTGTTATTGATGTTGTGAAGAACTTCCAAGATAGGGTCAACTGATTTCCTCACATACGTCATCTTCCTCCAAAATGAAGCATTCATAACAATTTTTTCAATCTCTTTGCCTTCATCTGACTTTGAACATCGAGATGAGAGCCATTTGTTTGATTGAAACATTTTCTTAAGACAATTCCTGTGGTCCAGCAAACTCTGGACGGTGGTAAAACTTGAAGCAAATTTGGTGAAAGATGGTCTTAGAAGTTCCTGCCCCCCTGTAAATTCTTTTTTCATTAGACTTAACAACCAAAGTCGGTTATAAATGAATTTCGTGACCTCCTGTCCTTTCTCTATACATTCTCCAACCCATTTTATCTTCAAAAAATCTTCAAGCATTCGATCAATACAATCTGAAGCACAAGGTGTCCAAAACAAATGCCTCCTTTTTTCTTCAAGCATCTTTCCTGCAGCTTGATAGCTTGGTGTATTCTGAGTGATCACCTGCACGGACAGATTATTACTACTATGTCCAAAATAAAAACAATCTTATTTCATCAAGGTACAACTCTTATAGATGATCAACACTTCTTTAGATGTATTTGTTTCTTCAACTATACTTCACATATTTAACTTGTTTGATCACTTATTTCTTTAAATAATACATTAAATCCAATGAAAAATAATGTTTCATGTGGAAATGTGACTGTTTTTTGGGACAACAAAATGATATGAAATGTGTATTTTAGGGACAAAAATAAGTTTTGAAATAGCTCTTTTTTGTATGGTAAAAGTGATTGTTGGTGGTCCTGTTATTGTTGTGTGTATGTGTGTGAGTGGGTGGGTGTTGCACATGGTTATTAGCTAATAGAAGGATAATGATAACTGACCAAAATGGGGGAAATAATTAAGCTTGATCACATGTTAAGTTACCTGCATGACATTTTCCTCACCCATCTCTTCGACTACTCCATCAAGAAGCTTGAATAGATGCATTGAATCCTCAATAACATCAGTTGCATCAACAGAGCAGACAAAGTACATACCACGGGGGCAGGAAACTAAAATATTGATTAATGTCCTATCCTGTGTATCTTTCCAACTATCTACCAAAACAGAACAGCCTGTGACTGCCCAAGAAGATTTATACTCAGTAAAATGGTTTTTTATAGCTGCAATTTCATCGTGCAGAAACCTTCCAGATATCATTTGGCTGGAAGGGCCTACAAAATCCTGTCCATAATTACCAACCAACTCCAACATTTTATGGAAATGGGGAGAATTCGCTGCATGAGGAGGAACTCCAGCATGATAGAAGAACTTACAAATTGCAGACATAACCTCCTTGAAGGCCTTTTTGTCAGAACCTGCCTTTACTTTCCCAATAGGAGTTTGAGGAATGAGTGCCTTTGGTGTTGCCCCATATGTGCCAAACTTTGACCTTTTTGTTAATGGTTCAGGCAATGCCCCTCTAAAATGCCTCCTTGAGTCGCTCTCAACTCTTTTATTTTCTCCCACTAAATATTTTTCATTGCTCATATTCTGCACTGTATCTTCTTCAAGATCTTCATACTCATCTTCATCATCTTCTTCGTTATCTGAATTATTAATATAGAAGGCCGATAATTCTTTAGTGTGAGGTCGTCTATGCCTTCGCCCTGTTCGGTGCCATTTCATATTCTCTTTTATCCTAAGATACACTTCTTCAGGAGCATTTTTACAAGGTGCAACTTCCCCTGGTATTCTTGCTATATGTTGCTTAAAACGGTTTATACCCCCACTCACTATTTTTTCACAATAGTTGCATTTTACTTTTTTTTTTCTCTCATCCTGGGGAACACCATGTTCCCATCCCGGATCAATGTAGCCTAGTGATCTCAGGGGTGTCAAATTTATAACCAAACCCTTGTCATTATAGTTAGCCAGTTGTTTACCTTTATTCTTGTACCCTATATGATCCTCCTCTTCTGCATAATCACTGCCGTGGAAATTCATATATGTCTGTTCATCATATTCAACACGTCTAGGTTTTTTACTGAAACGACATCCTTCTAGATTTTCTCTCATTTTGAAACGAACTTCTTCAGGAGCCTTGTCACAATAAGTCACTTCACCCGAGAGGCGGGCTAAATGCTGTTTTAATCTGTATATCCCACCACTAACTACTTTCGCACAATAATTACATCTTACTTTCTTTTTCTTCTCATCTTGGGCTACACCGTGTTCCCAACCAGGATCTACATAACCAGACGAGCGAGGTGATGTCATCTCCCCATGCATTTAGTGCCTTGACCATGTCATATTGCACATTTTTGTGCTCACTAAAAGCAAAAGAAAATTAGGATGCACGTAAAGATTCCAATATGCACTCCATAGGCAAAAAAGTGATTTCTTTCATGGAAATAGAATTAAGAAAAAAATCGACTCTACCATGGTTTCACTACAAATCTGCAAAGGTTCAAATCTACAAAGGTTCTCATTTTGCATAATGTTCTTTTACCTTCATTCTCAACCTTTCAAACATTAAATAACACAACTTTTCCCGATCATTGTTCTTCACATTTTGTGTTTCTTTAAGTTCATAAAGTTTCTAAAGCATAAGTGAGTGCTTTAGAGGTGAGGTAGAACCCCATTCTTAGCAAACTGAACTGAATGTGGGTAAGTGAAGTGGGTTGGGCACAAGGAAGCAACGTGCCTACAGTTTTCATACTTCATAGGACAATTAAATAAAACGGCAAGAAAAGAATTTGTTTTTTATTTTCAGAATGTAGCATTGTGTACGACAAAGGGCGTGCCAACAGCGAACAGTATTACACAACTTCAAAAGTGAATGAGGGGAAAAAGAGAAACTTTTGAAGTTTCTTGATACAAGCATCTTACATTCTTACCCATTAGCCCTCACTTAGCAAACCTAGCAAAATTTTGAAAAGAGTTATCGAAATACAAAAATTATGTAGCCAAACATATACATGGATAACCAGAGATAGTTTACAATGGAACCACTAATACTCCACGCATCAACTTAAATTATTTCCACTAGTGAAGTAGGAGATACTTGGTGTTAGCCCTGAACATACTAATAGTCTAATATACCATTTGGAGAGGTATTTATTAATTTATATATCTTCTATATATAATAATGCCATTTTCTTTGCTGAATTTCACGCCAACCGAAGAAAAAGCAAGAGTGATGAAAAGCAGCCTCTCTTGTGGCAAAGGCAGATGGGCCTTGCCTCAAGGGTTTCATGTTGTTTTGTTAAAGTATCCATCAAATATACTTCGTATTTTTTATTTTCTTTAACTGATCGTATTTATTTGTTTTCAATAAAATGTGCAAAGTACTGCAAAAGACTAACTATAGCAATATTAATAATATTCTCTGGTTGGTTCTCAATAAAAAAATGAGAAAAGGGTCAAACAAGGCCTTATACTATTATGAAATAGTCACATAAGGTCATGTACTCAATAAAGTGTCATATAATTACCTCTACTTGTAAAAAGCAATCAAATGAGTCCTAATGACCTATTTAACACCTCTTAATCCCGGTTTCAACGTACTTCTGACCATCTTTTTAGAATACATTATACGGCATATGTCGAATATTTAACTAAGATTGGTTGAAATACAAGTCAAAAAAATCGACATGTAAGCTAAAATCGAGATTAGGAGGTGTTAAATAGGTCATTAGGACTCATTTGATTGCTTTTTACAAGTAGAGGTACTTATATGACACTTTATTGAGTACATGGACTTATGTGACTATTTCATAATAGTAGAAGGCCTCATTTGAACCTTTTCTCTAAAAAAAACCAAGCTTTTCTAAATCTATATACGTAGTTTATTATAATGACCAAAAAAGTTCACTATTTCCACACCAGATATCAAATTGCCCCATTATACATCCTTTAACCTCAGACCTGGAAGGAATGCAAAAGTCTTACCCCGTATATAAAAGATAATAAGCATCTAAAATTGAAATAGAACTTTTGATGTAATAGGTACTGATAATAATTCTAAAATTTGAAAAAAATGTATTAAAAAACAGAAAATATACAGTCAAATCAGTCTGTCGTAAATATATATACTCTGTATAAAACAGTAAAGTTGAAATAAATTTAACCAAGAAAATCTCATCTAGTACGTGAAAATAAGATCTGCTGGGTGGTGCTTCGTACACACCTTTTGAAATATTGGTCTAACAGAAAATCTGTTGAGTAGCGTTTCAGATTCTGAAATTCCAACCATCTAAGAAGGTATTAACGATAAAAACAACTGCCAAATGAACTGATACCTAATTATTGTTAGAGAATTCTTGTTAAGTTTGGAAGCTGAAGCAGCTAAGACTGAGGATGGAGAGTAGAAAAGGAAATACCTGATAGATGGATATGGAAGAACGATGAATTGTCGAATACGGAGTATAATGCAGTGTTTATAATTATTGTAGAAATTTGGGGTGGAAATTTAAATGCAGAGTTTGAGGTATAGGCCTAGGCTTGTCACTTGTGTATTAAACCTTAACCGGTTTAGCGGTACTGGGTTTAATAGCACACAAAAAAAACTTACTTGGAACTTAAAACTATCTGTATAGTCCACTTTTATGTGCATAATATCATTTATGTCCCTGTTATTTTCTATTTTCATTTGTAAATTGTTATGTTTTTATTTCACTTCTAGATATGTTCAGCCAACCTCGTATGTCTATTCGTACTTTCGTCTCGATCTAGTCTTATACCTCTCCGGACGAATGAAGACCGGGCTTGATGACGATTGAACGCACACCATCGTTTGTCCCACCAACGGCGTCTCCCTGTCTTTCTCCAATCTTCTGGATGTGGCTCCAAAACGTGTTCACCGATCTTTCGAAATTTGCCGATCGAGAGCCTTCCCCAAATCACTGACTCATGTTACGGACTTAGTACGTACTAGACCCATACGAGTGCCATAAGCTCATGTGTAGAACTCACTCCCAAAAGATCAGCCGATTAGGAGGAGGAGACACCTTGCTTATAAGCCACCGGTCAAGCCCACACTTGACCGGTGTGGGATCTTTACAATACCATACGCTTCGAAGAGCCAATGTCCTCGTTGGTCACGGCTATGTTGGTCACAGTTGGCACCCCCAAGGCCCAAGCTACCACTCCATAGGTCACCACTACGAGTGTCAGGACAAGGAAGATGAGGATGACTCTTATACCGATTATTACGGACCTAGCCTATACTAGGCCCATACCAATGCAATCTCGGGTGTAGATCTCACTCCCAAAAGACCAGCCAATTAGGATGAGTGGACATACTTGCTTATAGGTGTAGATCTTTTGAGATCTCACTCCCAAAAGATCTCACTCCCTTGCTTATAAGCCATCGACCAAGCCCATACTTGACCAATGTGGGATCTTTACAACTCCATGTTCTACTTTCACTAAATTTTGTATCGATCAGTCTTATACCTCTCCATCTCTCATAATTTGAGTCTATCATCAATTGATGGACCTTTATATACGAATTTAAAATTTTTTTGAGTTAGTTTTGGTTCCCTCTAAAGGGATGAGATCGATGACTTGGGGATGGAAGCTCCAGATCAACGATTTCGTCGAATCAGTGGCTCCCTCTGGGAACATCAACTGATCAACTCGAGGACAACCGGGACACGTCGTTGAAGCAGAGTCTGGGACAACGATGCAGTTCTCAACATCACGACAGGGAGTTATCACCACTACTAGTGTACACTAATTTAGCTAAACAGAAACAATGGAAGCATATGGCATATTCTATTGTACACTTGTTTAAAAAGACACCACATGATCATGACATAGTCATCACGATCACGGATGAATTAGCATAGGCAAACCAACATAATCATGACCATATGTTACACATCCTAGACAGGCACACCTCATAATATTGAAAACTTCATCACAGGTGACTCATAACATAGGCAAACACTCATAATCATGATCACATGTTACATATCCTAGGCTAACACACCTCACATTAATCACAGAGTCATCACAAGTAACTTACCATAGGCAAACACTCATAATAATGCTCAAAATTGATGGTATACTTATGCTATCAACACTTCAGAAACATCATAGAGTCATCACAAGTATATAAGCATAGGCAAACACAATTCATCATGCTCACGGTTCACTTAGCATAGACAAACCAACTTCACAAGCATCAAAGTCATCATAGGTTAATCAACATAGGCAAACCAATATAATCATGATCACATGTTACAAATCCTAGGCTACCACACCGCACATCAATCAAACTTCATCACATGTGACTCATAGCATAGGCAAACACCCATAATCATGATCGCATGTTACATATCCTAGACTAACACACATCAGATTTAATCACACAGTCATCACAGGTAACTCACCACACGCAAACACTTATAATCATGATCACATGTTACAAATCCAGGCTAATACACCTCATATTAATTATAGGTTCATTATAGGTATATGAGCATATGCAAACACAATTAATCATAAACACGAGTTACATATCGCAGACATACCTTAGAATTGTTAAGCATCCATACATGACATTAATAAAGCAACAAGAGGCCGCGAGATTCAAAGACCTCAAATAGCATTCACAAACATATCTCACAATAGGCAAACACACATCATAGGTGAATCCGTATGCGTAACACACATATGATCCACATATCATAAATTCACAACTCTAAAATCATCATTAGTCACACAACAATCCAAACCGCCCTCTCACAAAAATGCAAAGTCGAGACAACATTAAAGACAGAACGAGAAAGGGTTGAGAACGTTATTGTCCTTAAGGAGCCCGGTCGTTGCAGTCATCTTCCCCACCGCCGTTGTCGCTCTCTTCTCCTTCATATGGTACCGGGCCTGAGTTCACCTCGTCACGATCTTCTGAATCCAGCCCGTCCAAACCTTCGTAGGTATCCAACACCAGATTAGATCCGTATTTCTTACGCAATCGCCAGTTCGGATTAGTCTCATATGAGGTCGAGTAACCAAAACGAACTATGAACATTCTAAACGGAAGTTCGTCGTGGTTTGCAGCTGCATGTGAAGCTTTAGCTTTTGAGGGTTCAACATCAGTTGGACCTGTCGGTTTAGGAATGGACCGACAACTTAGGGTTTTTAGGGGGTGATGGTTTCCGATCCATTTCGAATGGAGGTTTGTAGAAGGGACGTGTGATAGTGGAGGTGAGTAGAACGATGAGTGACGATGGGGGTTAGTAGAACAACGGGTGACATTGGAGATGGGAAAAGGAGGTTGGAGACGGTGGAGGCAATGGAAGAAGGCATAGAGAGGAGAGAGGGAAAGTTCAAGAGAAAGACAGAGAGAATGAAACGGAAGGGGTTGAGTGCGAATGAAATGGGGGTAAGGGGTGGGGAGATAAGGTAAATGGCATAAGGTTAGTATAGATATTTCACTTTAAAAACTTTCCTAAAATGGAAGTGTGGAGATTAATTTGGACCTGCCAAAAATGGAAGGTGTGAAGTTGTTTTGGGACCGGAGTGAGAACAATTTAAGCTATGTTTTATAAAATTGAAAAACCAATTAGTTGATTCTCTCCATTGTCAACTAAGTGCCCGTTTGGTAGATTTTGGCTTTTTAGGCTTATAAGCCATCTTTTTCACCAAACACGTAACTTTTGGTTTATGGGCTAAATTGTATAATAATAAGAAAAAGTAAGGTTGGAGTTACTTTTCTAGCTGTATTGGCTGAAGTTACTGTAAAGGGTCATTTGAGCTATCTTTTCATATAATTTTTTCTTTATTATATTAATAAAATGTATTTTAGATTATTATTTTTCACAAATCAACATAATCAGCCAATACAACCACATCAGACAGAACTTCATAAATTTCAGCAGAATCAGCCAATACAGCTGATTTGGCTGTCACCAAACGGGCTCTAAATGTAAAACAAATTTATTGACCTCTATTGTTGTCGTCAGCTTCTGGTGACCGTCTTAATTTGATACCCGTCAGAATGTGATAACCTCTGATGAGTTCAATGAGTAGACTACTCATCATGAAGTCTGAATTGTTCCAAATCTATATATATAAAAAAAGGGAATCGTATGGACAATAACGGTTCCCGCCTGAAATAGTTATTACAACATGTGAACATGCATGTAAAGAATTCACCTAGTAGCAGTTTCTATGTACGTGTTGCTGGCTTGGTAACCAACTACTTCACACGTTCACCCCCACCATGCATGTCTGAGTTAATTAACCACTTGCTGCTACGGTATATAACGTTTGATTCAGCAATCATCATAAAAAATCATTTCAAAGTCAGGTGAGAAAATACGTCAATGTGCTCCAAGCCTCCAACACTAAAATGTCAAAACAAGTTTTATTATGATAAAATATTTCTCTTTTAGAGTTGCGGCTTCATCTATGAAGATGTCGTTCGATATTCCACGAGCTTAACACATCAAGAAGAAATTGGGCACTTAGAGTATGACCAATTGTTTTCCATGATGATGAGGTACAATTTTTGCTTTTATAATCCGGATGTAATATGGGATTACTATGTGAGGAAGTAATTTACTTCTTAAAATTATATATTTATAATTGTAAGATGTTTAATACGGAGTATATATGTTTATTTAGTTATCATGCACAGTACATATGCTAGGATTATGGTATGAATTTTAAGATGACATTTTGATTCCATGCATGTACGTACTTATATGTTTGTTGTAAGTTGTAACTACCAATGATTTAAAGCATTTCTCTTTCCTGGCCAAATGATGATTATTAAAATAAAACTGCTCTTCTTTTCTGAAAAAAACACTTATATTTGAAAATGATATCCTAGATGATAGGATATATATATATGGTGCATGTCATCCCAGTTTGGTCATCTAAATCACGATTAAAATATTAAATCACTCTATTAACAAATTAATATTACGGCCCCAGAGGCTCATAGTAGTATAATAAAGTGATACATGATATAGTTGATAAGATGAGTAAGACGATTAGGTGACCAAAGAAAACCATGGGACATATGTGCAACAAAATAATGAAAACACATAGGGTTATAATACAAGATCTAATGATATGATGCATCAAATTCATAGAGAACTAATAAAAAATGGAGAAGGGTTTGACGTAATGCAGCTCAATTGAAAAAGTATTAGTAAAGAGTATAAAAAAATAACAAATTAAACAAACAGATCAATTGAAAAAAGAACTAATACTGATATACTAAATGTCTAAACCCAGTGGAATCACAAAAAAATGTAAAAATAGTTATACAAGACATTATCTGAAGCAATGGCGGTAAATTGAAAGTTTGAAAAGTAGCTCAGTATTTGAAGCAAAACTGACTTTTCAATTGTACACACCATATTTGCTTTAATTCCTTTCTTAGTTTTGGCCAAACAATTTATTATCCGTTTACAACTTTTTCAATAGAGAATCCGTTTTTGAGATATTGATTCATTAGGAATAATAGAAAATTTACCTTAGATTTTACA